TGAAGATGAGGTCTAGTGTATTCTCCAGTCTAGTAGGCTCTATTATTTGCTGGTTTAAATTGAATTTTGTGCAGAGATTTAAAAGCTCGTGTGAGTGTGAGTTTTCATCAGAGCACCTCCTGGTGTTATTACTGCAACAATATTATTTGCTATATTCCTCCATTTTAGGTGCCTTAAGTTGAAATCCCCCAGGAGCAAGATGTTGGGTGCAGGAGCTGGAAGATTTTCCACACAGTGGTCAATTTTTAACAGCTGTTCCTGGAATTGCTGGGATGTTGCATCTGGAGGCTTGTAGACTACCACAATGACTAGGTTTTGGTTCTCGACCTTTACTGCTAAAACTTCCACTACATCATTTGAGGCATTAAGCAGTTCTGTGCAAACAAGTGACTCTGCAATGTACAGGCCAACCCCCCCCCCCCTTTTGCCTGTTCACTCTGTCACATCTGTATAGGTTGTAACCTGGGATCCATATTTCGTTGTCCAAGTGATCCTTTATGTGGGTCTCAGTGAAAGCCGCGAACATTGCTTTTGCCTCTGCAAGCAGTCCACGGATGAAAGGTATTTTGTTGTTTGTTGCTGGCTTTAGACCCTGTATATTTGCAAAGAAGAATGTCATCGGACTGGTGGTATTGTTGGTACTGGGGGGGGGGATTTTTTTTCCGGCATTAGTATCTGTATCTGTTGGTTTGGAGTGGAGGCCATCGACTGTGGTTCCACTCCAGGAATGACTGGATTTGGTGTACGATTTCTGCCATTTCCTGCCAGTTTTCTTTCCTTCCTGGCACTAAAAAACCTCTCCCTCTTGAGTGGCTGTGGCTACCCAGGTTTTCCCATGGCCTGGATGTTTTGTATCTTTTTGTCCCTTTAGATGGTGTGCCTGGCAATTTAAGTTATAGCACAGTCTTTCCTGTACTGAAGAGGTACACATTTCAGGGTGAAAAAGCTTACAGGAAGGGAGTTTGCATTTTCCTGTTGTCATATGGGCACGGCATTTTCTAGGGTGGTCATAGTTGCAGGTCCCATCTGTTTTTCCAGATTTCCCATGCCTGCAGATACCAAGTGCATAGTATGTGCACAGGCTTGGTTTCCGTTTGCCTTGGGTTTCTGTGACTGTATTTCCTGTTGGTGCATGTTTCCCTGTCTTATTCCTATCCTCCCTAGCACCAACAATGGAGCTCCCACCAGTTGTTTTTGGTAATACTGTATATCCTCACTATTGCTAGTGGAGTCCTCTTGTTTGCTATTTCCTGTGGTATTTCTAGTTTGCAATATTGGTTTTATCTTATCTTTGACTACACTTGTTTCCCCACTACGGCCCCTGTCCCCTATGAGGTCATTTATATGTATTCCTTCCTGCGTAAAATTCCCGACTACCTGGACAAAATCTCCAGCTTCACCAGGAACTATGCATGCTCTCTGCCAATCCCTAGGTACCTTACCTTCTTCCATACATTTATTAAATAATTGCACCAACCACTCCAAAACTATATCCCCACCTGCTTTTAACATTTCTATCTTTATCCCATCAATCCCGGCTGCCTTACCCCCTTTCATTTTACCTACTGCCTCACGAACTTCCCCCACACTCACAACTGGCTCTTCCTCACTCCTACAAGATGTTATTCCTCCTTGCCCTATACACGAAATCACAGCTTCTCTATCTTCATCAACATTTAACAATTCCTCAAAATATTCCCTCCATCTTCCCAATACCTCTAACTCTCCATTTAAAAACTCTCCTCTCCTATTTTTAACTGCCAAATCCATTTTTTCTCTAGGCTTCCTTAACTTGTTAATCTCACTCCAAAACTTGTTCTTATTTTCAACAAAATTTGTTGATAACATCTCACCCACTCTCTCATTTGCTCTCTTTTTACATTGCTTCACCACTCTCTTAACCTCTCTCTTTTTCTCCATATACTCTTCCCTCTTTGCATTACTTCTACTTTGTAAAAACTTCTCATATGCTAACTTTTTCTCCCTTACTACTCTCTTTACATCATCATTCCACCAATCGCTCCTCTTCCCTCCCACACCCACCTTCCTGTAACCACAAACTTCTGAACACTCCAACACTACATTTTTAAACCTACCCCATACCTCTTCGACCCCATTGCCTATGCTCTCATTAGCCCATCTATCCTCCAATAGCTGTTTATATCTTACCCTAACTGCCTCCTCTTTTAGTTTATAAACCTTCACCTCTCTCTTCCCTGATGCTTCTATTCTCCTTGTATCCCATCTACCTTTTACTCTCAGTGTAGCCACAACTAGAAAGTGATCTGATATATCTGTGGCCCCTCTATAAACATGTACATCCTGAAGTCTACTCAACAGTCTTTTATCTACCAATACATAATCCAACAAACTACTGTCATTTCGCCCTACATCATATCTTGTATACTTATTTATCCTCTTTTTCTTAAAATATGTATTACCTATAACTAAACCCTTTTCTATACAAAGTTCAATCAAAGGGCTCCCATTTTCATTTACACCTGGCACCCCAAACTTACCTACCACACCCTCTCTAAAGTTTCTCCTACTTTAGCATTCAGGTCCCCTACCACAATTACTCTCTCACTTGGTTCAAAGGCTCCTATACATTCACTTAACATCTCCCGAAATCTCTCTCTCTCCTCTACATTCCTCTCTTCTCCAGGTGTATACACACTTATTATGACCCACTTTTCGCATCCAACCTTTACTTTAAATGTTATCTTAAATGTATATCTTAAATGTTTCTTACAATTATATCACATAAATGTTAAACCTAAGACCCAATCTAACTTTGTTATTTTTTATATACACTACCTAACAGAATACTCCATTCTACTGAATGTACAGCAATGCATGCAACCATATGACCTGTCTTTGTAATACTCATTTGTGCTTTATTGTTATCTGTTTACAATAATGTTTTATCACTGATTACATCATTGCTTAGTTAATCTTAAGTTAATTTTAAGCCAGCCCATAATGCTATGCATACAAGTGGCTTTGGCATGCTGCTCTTACCTGTATTTTTTTGTACCTCTGTATGTATGTTCAAATTATAAAATAAAAATAAAAATAAATAAATAAAAATAAATAAAATAGTGGGTGGGGTGGCCAGGCTGAGTTCCCTAAAATACCCTACCTACCATAGGACTTTCTACAAATAAATACTTTTCACCTTTCACCCTACATTAAGACTACAAATATTTTAAGGTAAGTAATGAGTGTACTGTATATGCATTTTATCACTCTATGGAGCTTTTAAGCATCGTCATAGTATATTATGTGTGGGTGGGGGTGGCCAGGAGGGCTACCACACCTAACTTCTTAGAGTAAATACTATTCACCTTTTGCCCTACATTAAGACTTCGAATATTTTGAGGTAAATAATGAGTGTACTGTGTGTGTATTTTACTTTTTTATTGTTTTAACCCTTTGACTGTTTACGCCATATAAATACGTCTTACGCACCACTGTTTCTGACGTATATATACTCAATAATTCTAGTGGCTTCAAATCAAGCGAGAGAAAGCTGGTAGGCCCAAATGTGAGAGAATGGGTCTGTGTGGTCAGTGTGCACCACATAAAAAAAATCCTGCAGCACACAGTGCGTAATGAGAAAAAAAACTGATTGTTTTTTGGATTAAAACGCGGAATTTGAGGTGTATTTTCGTATAGTATTTATCGTTGTATTCGCGTTTTCATGGTCTTAGGTGATAAAATGGAAAACATATTACAGAAATAGAGATGATTTTCATTACTTTGGTGATGAAACCGACCTTGAAACTGAGCTCAAAGTAGCGGAAATGTTCAATTTTTACCAATGTTCAGGAGTAAACAAATCACACCACACGTCCAATACACGTCAACTGGGGAGTCTAATATTCTTTCACTAGTGCACTGATATTATTTATACCATTTTTACAATAATGCAATAGTCTGCATAACAGTAAATTTTGTATTTTTTTGTATGAATAAAAAATCAAAATAGAAAGCAATAATAATATAAGAGGGGCCTAGAGATGTGACTAATGAACAGAGGATATGTTATTTTAGTGCCAAGAATGTCTACCTTGTTTATTCTGGACCCTATTTTGAAATTGGCATCTTTTTTAATTTGCGTGAAATTGGCCAAATTGCCAAATTCTGACCACTATATTGGGTAGTTCAAATTGGTAAATGGGCAGTTTCTTGTACTCAGCTGATAGATAAAATGGAGTTCTAAAGAAATAGCTATGAATTTGGTCAACTGGAACGGAATTGGCTGAAAACAGGGCTCAAAGTCAACGAAATCGCCGATATGCATATGTCGCCGAGACCACTAACTTCGCGGGAGCGTAATTCCGTGAGTTTTCGACCAAATTTCAAACTTTTTGTGTCATTACCATCGGGAAAAGATTCTCTATCATTTCATAAGAAAAAATAATTTTTTTTTTTATTCAAAAATTTATTGACATAGAATGACAGTTTCAGAAAGGGCCCTGCGACAGTCAAAGGGTTAATGCCTAGTTCTATTGCTAATTTAATATATGTTAGTGTAAACTTGTTTTCTGGCATTTATATGCATTTATAAGTGGAAAAAATGGCATTCTGCTTTCCGGCGATGTCTGCCTTCCGGCAGTAGCCTGGAACCTAACCTGCCGTATAAGTGGGGCCCTTCTGTAATCAGTAATTTTTTTCATCTTTACACATTTTGGTTTAATAATCTATAACAGTATCTCATATTTCCTCCCTTTATTCTTGTAATTTCACATGAATATAAATAGTGCCCAGCATATGTCATGGTGAGCATTTATATTCATCTATTCACAAAGCTTAAGTCCTTGTTTAATATTATCTTTAACCTGTTCCAGTTTCCTTGTCCTGGTATGAGACATGTCCCATATCTACAAATTTTTTTAACCACTAACACATTCTATATATTCAAAAATTTCTTCTTTACTAATAAAATTAATATAAATTAAATGAAGAGAGAATCAACACTAGCGAGCTTTACTCACCACATGCATAGAGCAGGTTTGGCATCAGCATTAATTTGATGTGGAAAGCCAACTTTAATGAGTGTATGATCCATTTTAACAGAGGCAGGCGGGGGCTCCAAGTGGTCATGGATCAACTCTTTCAGGTGGAGATCATTAATACACACTGAGAAGGAGCCACCTGTCTCTTGACTTATGTCTTTGCAAACATGGAGCTCTGCTGCAAGACCTACCACTGACACACGAATATTTGCATCCTTCACTTTCTGGACGAGAAATTAAAAAAAAATTACATTTTTACATAGTAAATGTGAATGATGATATGAAGGGAAGAAACTCACAATTTTAAGTACTGAAGACTCATGATGCTGGTGCTTTATTTAAAGTTACAGTGAGTCTATTTTCTTTTTTTGAGTTACCCTGTCTTGATATGAAATTACTGACGTATTAAAAATTTAATACATCAGTAATTTCATATCAATTTAATACATTTATGAAGCCTCCAAATATTTACACTGATAATTTGTCCTGGACATGGGAAGTACGGTGCCTTCAGCTTGAAAGATGGGTAGGGATGCTGTAATGGTCATTTGAACTGTCATGCCTGAGTACTTTTGGGAAGATAGCTATTGAATAAATGATGGTAAATGTGTTTCATTACTTCAAAAATTGAAAGAAAGTGTTTACAAAGCTGCACTATATAATCACAATTAAACGACAATACTTTTTACCAACTTAAAGAAATATATGACTCGCGAAATCATAATGACACGATTGCAAACAAACCATACTACGGGTGGGGTTTGAACCCGCAGTAAGAGAGTCTCAAGACTCCAGACCGTCGCGTTAGCCACTGGGCCAGCTAGCGGGTTCAAACCCCACCCGTGGTATAGTTTGTTTAAAGAAATACATTTACCACTTAACTATACACAAATAACCCGCACATAAAAGAGAGAAGCTTACGACGACGTTTCGGTCCGACTTGGACCATTGACAAAGTCACACTAACCAGAAATGGAGCAGGACGGCTATATATAGGCAGGAAGAGGCGGTGGTAGTAGTAGTACAAGAATGGTATATAATTTCCACTCTTCATAATTCGTTTTCCCGTCTTGGCTACCCTTCCCATTTCATAGACTCTGCCCTCTCACATGCTAAATGCAATTTCTTCTCTCCCAAACTCTCTACTCTTGGGAACTCTTCTATCCTCTGCCTTCCCTACATTTCCGGTCTTTCTAATCTCAACAATTCTCTCCGTCCCTTAGACATCAAGCTTACCTTCCGCCAGACTAACACTCTTCGCACTAATCTCATTCATACCTCTCCTCCCTCTACAGATGTTCCTGGTGTCTACTCTATTTCTTGCTCCTCCTGTCCTCTTCAATACTTTGGAGAAACTGGTCGATCTCTTTCTGACAGACTTAGGGAGCACAAAAATAGTGTTAGGCTTGCCGACCCTAACAATGCTCTTTTCTGTCACGTCAGAGATCATAGCCATCCTATTGACTGGTCTTCTGCTAAAACTGTCTTCCCTACTTCCAACTCGAACAGTCACCGTCTAGTTGAATCCTCTCTAATACACAACTTTCCTTGTATGAACCTTAGCCCTGGCTTCGTCTCTGTAGATGTCTTCCTCTCCCACTACATTATAAAATGCTCCAAACTTCAGAACACCCATGACTTAACCTGACTCCTCATTTTTTTCTTTTTTTTTTTTTTTTTCTTTTTCTTCTTCTCCCTCTTCCCCTTTCCTCTTTCCTTTTCTCCTCTGGGTTGTCTTTCTCTCTTCTGTCTCATGTTTCTGTTCCTTCTTCATTTATTTCACCACTTCCCCTTTCACGCACCTCTGTGCGCTTGCTCTCCCTCAGTGGGCACCTAGCTCTCTTGCAGTGCTCCCCTTTCTTTGTATTTACTAGCTCGTCCTCCTTATTTCCCACTTCTACCACTACCACTACCACTACTACTACCTCTTCTACTACTACTACTACTACTACAACTACTGATGAAATTAAGACACATGTGCGGCGTCTGGTTGTCTTTGTTGTGGACGTTTCGCCATCCAGTGGCTGGCTGATGGCGAAACGTCTACGATAGGGATGCCCGGGTGTTGCGCATGTGTCTTAATTTCATCTTGTCGGTATTATATACCATTCTTGTACTACTACTACTACTACTACCACCACCTCTTCCTGCCTATATATAGCTGTCCTGCTCCACTTCTGGTTAGTGTGACTTTGTCAATGGTCCAAGTCGGACCGAAGCGTCGTCGTAAGCTTCTCTCTTTTATGTGCGGGTTATTTGTGTATCGTTCCAGTCACGGTATTGTGCCTTTTTTGTTATTAACCACTTAACTAATATTGACCCAATTTTCAAATTGGGTCAATCTACATATAGATTACTCCACATACCTGTATAGTAGCTCCAATTTCCCCCGGGTCACAGGAAGTCAGAGCCGCAAAGATGATGAGAATCTCTCGAGAAGTGTGAGGTGGTAAATGGCGCAGAGATGACAGTGCTACTTCCAGAGAATTTTGTAGTGAGGGCTCTCCTCTGGCAGGCAGATCTTGTAGTTTCTTGATACACTGATGGTAAACAGTAAGGAGAAACTGAATATTTTACTGACAGTATACAATATCATCAAGCTGATGAATAAGACAAAGGCTTGAGGGACTGACCACTTCCTACCAAGGATGAGGGAATGATCACCTCAAAATTATTACTGCTATTGTCTCTAGTGTAATATTCATCTGCATTCTACTAAAGAAGCCTGTTAACAGGCAAAACATTGCTGCATGTATTTTTTTATAAGAATTTATTTTTATATTAATGTACAGTACACCAATACCCTTATAATTATGCCTGTCAACTTCTACCAAAGATTGCTTATTTAAATTGCTCTAGTTTTACAAATATTTAACACTAAAAATAAGAATTGTAAGTCCATTTATTTATTTGTTTATATTGGCAGTTTGGAGGGATATGTTGTGTATCTTTATACGTACAATATATGCTTCTAAGCTGTTGTATTCTGAGCACCTCTGCAAAAACAGTGATTATGTGTGAGTGAGGTGAAAGTGTTGAATAATGATGAATGTATTTTCTTTTTGGGGATTTTCTTTCTTTTTGGGTCACCCTGCCTTGGTGGGAAACGGCTGACTTGTTAAAAAAAAAAATACACAACTTCAATTTGGCATAAGTTTCGCATTTAGAAGTAGTTCTGTACAGTAATTTATTAAATTTAGTCAAGGAAAAATTAAGAATTACTGTAAGGAGAGAAATTATTAGTTTTCTCCAAATAAAAACAGTAGTAGCTAGGATTATCATTACAGTGCTCCTAAAATCATACAAGTGTGTTGTGCTCTGTTTAACAGGTGGCTTGAGGAACTCACCTCTAGATGCCTTTGTGGGTTATTGCTGAGTTCACTTTGTCTCTTGGCAGTCTTATTCTGAGTAGTAATTATTCCAAGCTGACTAATGGGATTCTGCTCATGAAATTCTTTAATAAAATCCTCAAGAATCTGAAACAAATCATATGTTCCACATTTTTAAATGAGGTAAAACAAGTGGTTAAGAAATTAAAAAAAAGAGCCAGTGAGAAAATGAGTGAGTCTTCATCAGTATATTTTGCTGAGAATAAGAAACGTTTTGGAGAGAGATAAGCTGAGAAAGCATGGATAGCAAATGAACTTACCAATAAAAATGAAAAAGAAATGTTAGATGAAGAGGGGAAAGTAATGGAAAGGCAGAGAGAATATTTTGAGTTGCTAACTGTTGATGTCATTCCTTTTTCAATTCAATTCAATTCAAATTCAAACTTTATTCTCTATAAGTATTACAATGCTGAGTTTACAGAATTTGGTTATTGTGTGGTTTACATGTAGTAAAATAATAATTACAGAGTGTACCACTAGAACGCCTAGCATGGCTAGACATTTCGGGCAGACTTATATTAAATCTTAGGTTTAAAATGTTACAGAATTATGAGATAAGTTGGTATTATGGCTAAGTGACTAAATACTAGTTGTGAGTTTAGCAATGTGAATGCTTTTGTTTTGGCACTATACATAGTTTCAGTATTGGAGTATCAACAGGGTAGAATGGAACAATATACAGTGGACCCCCGGTTAACGATATTTTTTCACTCCAGAAGTATGTTCAGGTGCCAGTACTGACCGAATTTGTTCCCATAAGGAATATTGTGAAGTAGATTAGTCCATTTCAGACCCCCAAACATACACGTACAAACGCACTTACATAAATACACTTACATAATTGGTCGCATTTGGAGGTGATCGTTATGCGGGGGTCCAATGTATAGTTGGAGTATGAGTGCCAAGGTAAATCTGGGAAAAATATGCAAAGCAATGGGAAGAATAAGTGGTAAAGCTGCTGGAACATATGGAATTAAGACTGGAATGTTAACAGTAGGTGGGGATGCAGTTTTGTAGTGGTTCGTGTATTTGTTCAAAGCACACAATACATAAGGTACTTAACTACTGGCAGAGAACAAGTATAGTTTTGGTGTGGCATAAGTACTGTGTACTTTGATACACAGTGGACAGGTTTAGCTCTTGTTCTGGACTGAAAGATAATGTTTGTAAATAATATCATTTACTCATCTGCAAATTGCTAAGCATTCTAAAAATCACTTGTGAGGCCAATGCATGCAGCAGGACGAGATAAAATAACATAACACACGCCTGGTGCTCCAGGGTATGGAAAACAATTCCTAGCTTCTGCTAGGCACCCATACTTATCTACGGTGTGCTGTGTGGCATAAGTACTGTGTACTGATGCCACACTGTGGTTACGGTCCTGCTCTGGGTTGAGAGGTAATGTTTGTAAATAATTTCAAACATTTGCAAATTGTTAAGCATTGTAAAAATAAACCATCACTATATCTTTGATGAGTTTTGAGTCTTTCTACTCCCAGAGCCTGGCCATGGACCAGACTTGTCTGGTGCTTGCCTGGTCAATCAGGCTGTTACTACTAGTGGCCTGCTGCCCCACATATCCATCACAGCCTGGTTGATCTGGCACATGGTGAATGAGGATTCTAACATATTAACACAAAGAGGATACAATCAATGCTTTAATGTCCAGAAGGATTACAGATATTGAGAATAAGAATATATTGTTTTACATGTGTTCGTGACACTGAGAATATGGAAATGTAGTTTTCACATATTTGGCTAAAAGGTATACAAAATTTCATTAAAATTTCAACTGATTTTAACTGTCTTCACTTTGTTCAAATAAGTAATATTAGTACCAAACAGACACAATATTACATTTTAATACAGTATTGTATAGTATCCCTATTACCTGCTTAAAATTACACAGTATAAATTCAGAGAACCTTCAGAGTGCAGCTCTGTCGTGTAGGTTTCAAATCCTGCTCTGTCATTGCTTGAGACACATCCAGGATAATATAGACGTGCCGCATTATTCCTAGCCTCACACTGGCTTCTCGATCCAACAATCTCCTCCGCTTAGCTCGCTGTATCATCTCTGTCACCGATGGCTCCAGGCGGCCAGATTCGTCTTCTTGTATAGCCTCCCTATTTTATAAAAGAAAATGTTATACTAAAATTTGCATGACAGGCAACATGATTAAAAAAAATATGTGAAATATCAAGGCAGCTACAGTACAGCAGCAAACAACAGAAGCTATAAAAGGAAATAAATATCATTATATCAAAGGTATTTAATACTGACAGGTTAATGAAAAAGACGCATGTACAGCACCTGGGGATATTGGATGAAAACACAAATGCAGTATTACTCGGTCCTTTATTGACAACGTTTCGCCCACGCAGTAGGTTTTATCAAGTGAAACAGATCTTATACCAGTTTTGTATTATTATTATTATTATAATCAAGGGGAAGCGCTAAACCCGGAGGATTATACAGCACCTGGGGGGGGGGATTTGGAAGGCATTCAGGCTTAATTCGGGGAACTGGAGCACAGATCCAATTCCCTAAATCAAGAGCCCCTCACCAACATCAAGGAACCTTCCTTGAGGGGTACCAGTTTTGTAAAGATACCCAGGTGTTGCACGTGGTCCTTTATCTGTCAAAAGCAAAAATGATACTTTACCATGTTTTCTCGTATCCACTCTCCCACCGGTATTCTTTAGGATCTTCCTCTTCATGCATTGCTGAAGGTTACAAAGGGCGCTTACTTCAGGTACTGTACTGATACTTTACAGATCACGTAGTTTACTTCGAGGTTTCTCCTCCTCCAGACGACTCTTGTTGTGTTGTTGTTGTTATTGAGGAATATTAAAGGCCACCAAACCTTACTCATTTTGAGCTTTACTTCCCGGGAGTCCGGGAAAAAAATGTTACATGAATATGGGCGGGAATTATAAAGAATACAAAGTTTCCTCCTGAAAGAGAAAAGGGAACGTTAAATACTCAAGTACGGCAGTTAGTTTAATATGTTTATTATGCACCCCATACCCATCCTGTGGGCGGTAGTCAAAAGATTACAGAGGTACTAAATTGGGTCCAGGGACGGCCTCAAAGTTTGACTAGCTTGAGCAAGTACAGAGGTAATGAATTCCAATTTACAAAGGTAATGAACTCACAATTTACAAGGTATGACTCTCAAGATAAGATGAAGTCACAATCACAGACAAAGTTCAAAGGTATTTCATGATTACAGAGGTACAAAACAATGTGCCAGGGACGGGCTCCAAATTGTTTGATGGCTGAACTAGGTACAAGTAAATGAACTCACAAGTTTACAAAATGTAATGAATCACAAGTACAAAGGTAATGAATACTGTAAATGGTTACTTACGTTTATACATGGCTGCAATCATGAACAAATTTTAGAGTAATGAGCAATTCACACTTCACACCGTCACACTGTCAGGTTAATGGTGCAAATGTTGATTGCGAGTACTCTACATCTTCTGCAATTTCATCTTTGTCAAGCAGAGTACCATGACGAGCAAGCGTAGTCCAAATGACATTGTAAGGTACACAGAAGGGTCCTGCGAGCCTCATAGTAACACTGTCTTGTCTACTAAGCCGCAGGAACCCTATATTAACCCTTATACAATTCCTTATATGGACTACGTTGCTTCATGTACTTCTGCCTTGACAAAAAAAAGAATTGAAAGATAGACTGCAAATCACCCAGAACAAAATGGCAAGATTCATTCTGGACCTGGGTCCAAGAGAACATGTAGGCCAGGATGAATTACAACAATTGGGTATATATGTTGAAGACAGAGTAAAACAACTGAAGTCAAGTTTATAAAATTGCTTACAAACAGTGTCCAGAATATCTTTCTGTCAATTTTGTCAAGGTTGGGAATCAAAGCAATCATAGTACTAGGGGGAGACAGCACAACTTTGTAGTACCCACAGTCAGTGGCAAGGCTTCAAATACCTTTTATTGTACAGCAATAAATGAATGGAACAAACTGCTTGCACATGTCAAAGCCAGTCATAGCATGAACCAGTTCAAGAAGAGAGCCAAAAGGTGCCTAGTGAATGTAACGACAGAAAGGGAGAATGATTTTTTATTTTTTTTAACTAACACACATGTAAATATAAATAACTCATTTAACCTTATTCCTAGTATATCTCCTTTATAGTATAATAATAAGACATTATCTCCTTTCTAGTATAATAATAAGGTATTAAAAGGACCTCAATGGTAATAAGTCACTTTGACTGACTTTTTTTTGGGTTATCCTATGTTTTCTACACATATACTAACAAAGCCAGCCTAGAAGTCCTTAAGTCAAGTGAACCCCAAGTCTAAACACCAACAGAGCCAGACGCCTCATGCTAAGTCAACATGTTGGCACTCACTGAAGCCGACGCTGAAGCCTGGTTTTATTAAGCTATCCTTGTTAAAGGTTTCAAAGGCTAATATTATTATAATATTTATGAAAAGATCTAAATCCTTATAATTATAAGTCATACAATCCCTGGGGAATGGAAGGAAATCACATTTGTTCCAAGGACCCCAATTAAAATAAGTAAAGGACGCCAATGGAAATAAGTCACTCTGTCTGACTTTTTGGGTTATCCTAGGTACTTTACACATATGCTGCTATATATGATAATTCTATGTAACTGTATTTGTGTATACCTGAATAAACTTACCTACTTAGGAAACGAAGATCCGTTTAAGGACCACTAAAAGTTAACGGAGCTTCGGTTTAAGGGCCACTGACAGTTATCACTGTATCGAGCCCTACTTCTTGGTGTCCCGCCATCTTCCATAGAATAATAATAATAATCTTTATTTCTGCAAGTACATGTACAAGATATACAGGCCTAGCTGACATCAGTGACATACTACTATATAGAAAGTTATTTGTTATGCAGAGCATTTCGCAAATTAGGTCAATTTTGTCCCGGGATGCCACCCACACCAGTCAACTAACACCCAGGTACCCATTTTTTACTGATGGGTGAACACAGACAACCGGTGTAAGGAAACACGTCCAATGTTTTAACCCGTGGCCACCAGGCCACGGGCCACCGTAAGTACATAATCTAGCAAACTACTTTCATTGCGTGCTATATCATATCTTGTATACTTATTTATCCTCTGTTTCTTAAAATATGTATTACTCATTACCAAACATTTTTCCATACATAGTTCAGTTAAAGGCCCCCCTTTTTCATTTACCCCTGGCACCCCAAACTTAAACTACTACTCCCTCCACAACAGTTTTACCCACATTAGCATTTAGGTCCCCTACCACAAGTACTCTCTCACTTAGTTCAAAACTCCCCAGGCACTCAGTTATCATCTCCCAAAATTCCTCTCTCTCTTCTACACTTTTCTCTTCTCCAAGTGCATAAACACTTGATAAATTAGACACATGTGCAACTCTTGGGTATCTTTATTGAGGAAACGTTTCGCCTGGTTGATCAGGCGCTGATCCACCAGGAGGCCTGGTCACAGACCGGGCCGCGGGGGCGTTGACCCCCGAAACTCTCTCCAGGTAAACTCCAGGTAAACAGTGGCTTCATCAGTCCATACAAAGGAGAATCTTGAAGAACAGGAGGAGGATGAGGTAATCAGTCCCTCAACCTTGAGTCGATGTGGTCAGTCCATCAATCTTGAATAGAATACGGCATACGTGCTGAGAAGGAGCTTATAAACCGTTGGCAGGAGAGGTGCAGCAGTCATAGGTCGTGTAACATTTGTTCAATGTTGAAGTAGGTCGTGCCCAAGAATTAGGCAAACGAAGAATTCCCAAGTATTAAGATCCCAAGAAGTTGCAGTTTTCTGACAGGTTTGTAGATGAATGGTTCAGAGAACGACATGTTGATAAAATTTTGACACATGTGCAACTCTTGGGTATCTTTATTGAGGAAACGTTTCGCCACACAGTGGCTTCATCAGTCCATACAAAGGAGGGAAACTTGAAGAACAGGAGGAGGATGAGGTAATCAGTCCTCAACCTTGAGTCGATGTGGTCAGTCCATCAATCTTGAATAGAATACGGCATTTCGTGTGAGAAGGAGCTTATAAACCGTTGGCAGGAGAGGGGTGCAGCAGTCATAGGTCGTGTAACATTTGTTCAATGTTGAGTAGGTCGTGCCCCAAAAATTAGGGCAAGCGAAGAATTCCCAAGTATTAAGATCCCAAGAAGTTGCAGTGTCTGACAGGTTTGTAGATGAATGGTTCAGAGAACCGACATGTTGATAAATTAGACACATGTGCAACTCTTGGGTTTTTCCTGGAGTTTACCTGGAGAGAGTTTCGGGGGCAACGCCCCCGCGGCCGGTCTGTGACCAGGCTCCTGGTGGATCAGCGCCTGATCAACCAGGCTGTTGCGCTGGCTGCAAAGCAAACCAACGTACGAGCCCCAAACCCGGCTGATCAGGAACTGACTTTAGTTGCTTGTCCAGTGCCAGCTTGAAGACTGCCAGGGGTCTGTTGGTAATCCCCCTTATGTGTGCTGGGAGGCAGTTGAACAGTCTCGGGCCCCTGACACTTATTGTATGGTCTCTTAACGTGCTAGTGACACCCCTGCTTTTCATTGGGGGTGGTTGCATCGTCTGCCAAGTCTTTTGCTTTCGTAGTGAGTGATTTTCGTGTGCAAGTTTGGTACTAGTCCCCCTAGGATTTTCCAGGTGTATATAATCATGTATCTCTCCCTCCTGCGTTCCAGGGAATACAGGTTTTAGAAACCTCAAGCGCTCCAGTAATTGAGGTGTTTTATCTCCGTTATGCGCGCCGTGAAGTTCTCTGTACATTTTCTAGGTCGGCAATTTCACCTGCCTTGAAAGGTGCTGTTTAGAGTGCAGCAATATTCCAGCCTAGATTTGAACAAGTGACCTGAAGAGTGTCATCATGGGCTTGGCCTCCTAGTTTTGAAGGTTCTCATTATCCATCCTGTCATTTTTCTAGCAGATGCGATTGATACAATGTTATGGTCCTTGAAAGGTGAGATCCTCCGACATAATCACTCCTAGGTCTTTGACGTTGGTGTTTCGCTCTATTTTGTGGCCAGAATTTGTTTTGTACTTGATGAAGATTTAATTTCCTCATGTTTACCATATCTGGTAATTGAAATTTTCATCGTTGAATTCATATTGTTTTCTGCAGCCCACTGAAAGATTTGGTTGATGTCCGCCTGGAGCCTTTCAGTGTCTGCAATGGAAGACACTGTCATGCAGATTGGGGTGTCATCTGCAAAGGAAGACACGGTGCTGTGGCTGACATTTCCCTTTTCTATGTCGGATATGAGGATGAGGAACAAGATGGGAGCTAGTACTGTGCCTTGTGGGACAGGCTTTCACCGTAGCTGCCTCGGACTTTACTCTGTTGACGACTACTCTCTGTGTTCTGTTAGTGAGGAAATTATAGATCCATCGACCGACTTTTCCTGTTATTCCTTTAGCGCGCATTTTGTGCCTATTACGCCCTGGTCACATTGTCGAAGGCTTTTGCAAAGTCTGTATATATTACATCTGCATTCTTTTTGTCTTCTAGTGGGTATCTTTATTGAGGAAACGTTTCGCCACACAGTGGCTTCATCAGTCCATACAAAGGAGAATCTTGAAGAACAGGAGGAGGATGAGGTAATCAGTCCCTCAACCTTGAGTCGATGTGGTCAGTCCATCAATCTTGAATAGAATACGGCATACGTGCTGAGAAGGAGCTTATAAACCGTTGGCAGGAGAGGTGCAGCAGTCAGGTGTGTAAACATTTGTTCAATGTTGAAGTGGTCGTGCCCCAAGAATTAGGCAAGCGAAGAATTCCCAAGTATTAAGATCCCAAGAAGTTGCAGTGTCTGACAGGTTTGTAGATGAATGGTTCAGAGAACCGACATGTTGATAAATTAGACACATTCATTAGACCATTCATCTACAAACCCGTCAGACACTGCAACTTTTTTGGGATCTTAATACTTGGGAATTCTTCGTTGCTAATTCTTGGGCACGACCTACTTCAACATTGAACAAATGTTACACGACCTATGACTGCTGCACCTCTCCTTCCAACGGTTTATAAGCTCCTTCTCAGCTCGTATGCCGTATTCTATTCAAGATTGGTGGACTGACCACATCGACTCAAGGTTGAGGGACTGATTACCTCATCCTCCTCCTGTTCTTCAAGATTCTCCTTTGTATGGACTGATGAAGCCACTGTGTGGCGAAACGTTTCCTCAATAAAGATACCCAAGAGTTGCACATGTGTCTAATTTATCAACATGTCGGTTCTCTGAACCATTCATCTGCATAAACACTTACTATAAGCCACTTTTCACATCCCACCCTTATTTCACTCCATATAATCCTTGAATTTATACATATATATTTCCTCTTGTCCTGCCATAAATGATCCTTCAACATTATTTCTACTCCTTCCTTAGCTCTAACTCTATTAGAAACTCTTGACCTAATCCCATTTATCATCTCCACTGAAACTCTCCTACCTCCTTCAAATTAAAATTCTTCATTTCTCGGTTATTATTATTATTATTATTATTATTATTATTATTATTATTATTATTATTATAATCAAGGGGGAAGCGCTAAAGCCGAAGGATTATACAGCGCCTGGGGGGGGATGTGGAAGGCATTCAGGCTTAATTCGGGGAACTGGAGCACAGATCCAATTCCCTAAATCAAGAGCCCCTCACCAACATCAAGGAACCTTCCTTGAGGGGTATTTCTCGGTTAATATTACAATGTGGGGTTTACATATTATAAGATATTATTACATATTATAAAATGCTTATTACAAAGGCCACTAGTATGCCTAGGCATTTCGGGCAGACTAATACTAGTTCTTACTCTATATTGACTTAGAGCCAGGACATCCTGTTTCTTTTCATTCATGACATTCACAGTCATCTCTTTTTTTTATCATCCACGCACATTCAAACATCCCAACTTTAAGGTTTTATTTTTATTTTTAGTAAGCTATACAGGAAAAGGGGGTTACTAACGCATTGCTCCTGGCATTTTAGCTTATTTTTACGACACGTATGACTTATATAAGAAAGATTTTTATTTCCACTTCCCCATGAATAAGAAAGGAAAATAATACTAATAAGAACTATTAAGAAAAACTCAATTAAAAAGTCAGGTGAGTGTGTATACATAAATGTGTACATGTATGTGTAGTATAATCTAAGTGTAAGTAAAAGTAGCAAGAAATTTCTCTTATCTTGTGTGTTTGTGAGACAGACAAGACACCAGCACTCCTACCCTCATGTAAAACAAATAGTGGTTTCTGTCATACATTCATTTGGCAGGACAGTAGTACCTCCCTGGGTGGTTCCTGTCTACCATCCTACTGTTAGTCGGCCGTTTCCCACCAAGGCAAGGTAGCCCAAAAGAAAAGAAAAACTTTTACAATCATTCACTCCATCACTGTCTTGTCAGAGGCGCACTCACACTACAGAGAACCTTCACAGCGCGCATAACGGAGATAAAACACCTAAATTACTGGGAGCGCTTGAAGTTCCTGAACCTGTACTCCCTGGAACGCAGGAGGGAGAGATACATGATTATATACACCTGGAAAATCCTAGAGGGACTAGTACCAAACTTGCACACGAAAATCACTCACAACGAAAGCAAAAGACTCGGCAGACGATGCAACATCCCCTTAATGAAAAGCAGGGGTGTCACTAGCACGTTAAGAGACCATGCAATAAGTGTCAGGGGCCTGAAGACTGTTCAACTGCCTCCCAGCATACATAAGGGATATTACCAATAGACCCCTGGCTGTCTTCAAGTAGGCACTGGACAAGTACCTAAAGTCGGTACCTGACCAGCCGGACTGTGGCTCGTACGCTGGATTGCGTGCAGCCAGCAGTAACAGCCTGGTTGATCAGGCTCTGATCCACCATGAGGCCTGGTCACAGACCGGGCCGCGGGGGCGTTGACCTCCGGAACTCTCTCCAGGTAAACAGTTATAAAACTGCACAAATGTACCTTGCTCACACTCCAACAAGGTAAGATTTATGAAGGGATTCAGGGATACCGGCAGGCCAGACTTGAGTCCTGGAGAGGGAAGTATAGTGCCTGCACTCCCAAGGAAGGGTGTTAATGTTGCAGTTTTATAACTATAGTGTAAGTGCGGCTCTGACAAGACAGTGATGGAGTGAATGATGATAAAAGTTTTTTTTTTTTTTGGGACCACCCTGCTTTGGTGGGAAACAGCAGATGTGCTTAAAAAATATAAATATATATTTATAGACTAGTAGTAGGTTGGCAGACAGGAACCACCGAACAGGTAAAACTTACTGTAAACTTATCTAAAATATATTTAGTTGGATTAGGCTAAATTAAATTGCGTTTGTTATAATAAGGTTAGGTAAGTATTCTAAGGTTCTTTTGGTACAAAATTATTAATTTTTACATTAACATATATGAAAAAAAGATATATCGTTAGTAAGTAAGTTTATTCAGGTATACACAAATACAGTTACATAGAATTATCATACATAGCAGCATATGTGTAGAGAACCTGGGATAACCCCAAAAAAGTCAGAGTGACTTATTTCCATTGGGGTCCTTTTACCTTATTATTATAATATAAAGGTTATATTTTCTTATTATTCTATAATAAGAGAAAATTTTAGAAAGGACTTGATTTTAAATGAATTCTTGCTAAATGACCAGTTTTACCTATTCGGTACGACATATATATATATATATAGTAGGTTGGTAGACAGCAACCACCCAACTTGTCATGATTTTGACCAGCTCTACCTGGAGCTCATTACCTTTGTAACTTGGTCATGATTATGACCAGATCTAGTTGATTACCTTTGTAACTTGCTCAGCTATCAAAACTTTGGAGTCCAGTCCCTGGACCAATTATCTACCTCTGTAATCTTTTGACTACCGCCCACAGGATGGGTATGGGGTGCATAATAAACATATTAAACTAACTAACCAGGGAGGTACTACCGTCCTGCCAAGTGAGTGTAAAACGAAAGCCTGTAATTGTTTTACATGATGGTAGGATTGCTGGTGTCCTTTTTTCTGTCTCATAAACATGCAAGATTTCAGGTACGTCTTGCTACTTCTACTTACACTTAGATCACACTACACATACATGTATAAGCATATATATATATATACACATCCCTCTGGGTTTTCTTCTATTTTCTTTCTAGTTCTTGTTTATTTCCTCTTATCTCCATGGGGAAGTGGAACAGAATTCTTCCTCCGTAAGCCATGCATGTTGTAAGAGGCGACTAAAATGCCGGGAGCAAGGGCCTAGTAACCCCTTCTCCCGTATAAATTAATAAATTTAAAAATAGAAACTTTTGTTTTTCTTTTTGGGCCACCCTGCCTTGGTGGGATACGGCCGGTTTGTTGAAAAAAAAAAAAAATATAATATATATATTATATATATATATATATATATATATATATATATATATATTATATATATATATATATATATATATATATATATATATATATATATATATATATATATATATATATATATATATATATATATATATATATATATATATATATATATATATATATATATATTTGTGTATTGTTATTATGTGTGGGTTTTCCTAGGTAATTTACAAGTATGTCACTATATATAATAATCTGTGTAATTGTATTTTAGAGTGGAAGTACCTAAATAAAGTTAGTGAGTGTGGTAAGCCTGGCAGGTGGTGGTGGTGTTGTTTATGTTGTGTTGAGCGGCGGCGGCGGCGGCGTCGGCAACACTCACTTCCACACAACCACATCTCTTGGTGTTGCACCTCGCTCCAGTGACATTTTCTACCCAGGTCTGGCTATTATATCCCCGTTGTGTTGCTGGAAGTGACAGTGGACAGGGCGTGAGTTGTGGTAGGTGTTAATAGCAAGAGCAGCGTCTCCGGAGCCACCATGACTATGGCCTACCCCAATCAACCTCCTCAACGAGGTAGACCTCCACCCAATTCTGCTCAGATACAGAAGGTAATATGATCAAGGTCGATATTAGTGGTCACTGATGTGAATCCTGCATGGAATTTTTTTTTTTTAGAAGTTTATTGCTGGTGAAATGGATGCAAATGCAAAGAGAAACCTAACTGATGTTTCATCTGTGGAGAGACATCTTCAGTCAGTGTGTATTGACTGAAGAAGCCAGTGACAGGCCAGATGCCCCAATAAAATTCCTCTCTGCAGTCTTGTTTTTCCACCACTTGTTTGCTTTGTACCATTTGTTACCAAGTTTGTGCTTACTTGGCTTAACAACTCCTTTGCATAAACAAGGGCTTTCCAGTAAAAATGTATAAATATATGTAATCCCAGAACTGAATCAACACCCTGTATGTTTTCTGGAAATTGAACTTAATATTGACTAGTAGAATGACCTAAATATATCATGATATAAATTTATTTTGTGCTAAGAGACCCTGATAGATTTAAATCCTGTTGAGGAATTCAAGGGATATAAGTTGTACAGTATGGCACTACTGCAATTTTTTGGTGTCTATAAATGCAAATGAGCTTTATGTACTGTAATACCTCTCTATACAAAATAATAATAATAAAAAAATATATTACAGTGAGATCTACAGAGCATGGGTTAGAGTTATTGAAGCTTAAGCCTTAGGTATCTTTAAGAATAGATTGGATAAATGTTTTAAGTGATAGGGGTTGGCTTTGAGGAGGTCCTGCCAGATATAGACCAATAGGCCTGCTGCAGTGTTCCTCCACTCCTGTGTTCTTATGTTTAGTAGTTTTGGCTTGTGCCAGATTAATATTAAACGAAGAACTGAACCCTGGATAACTGTCGAGATATTAGATATCATATTCAGGGATCGGTTGCTGAAAAGATTTAAGGGGAATGGGCAGGATTTGCAGCGCTTTTTGAATCCCACAGAATACAGAACAGAGTTCAAATGCTTATAAAATCAAATCAAGTTTATTCTCTATAAAGATTACAATTTGGGGTTTACATATTATAGGATATTGTGTGGTTTACATATTATATAAAACTAATTACAGATGGGCCACTATCACACCTACCATGACTAGGCATATTGGGCAGACTAAGATTAATTCAAAACTCTATATTGGTACAGATTATTGAGCATATTGGTATTAAGGCTAAGTAACTGCATTACAGTTTGTAAATTTAGCAATGTGAATGGTTTTGTTTTGGTACAATACTTAGTTTCTATTGAAGCTCCTACACTGGAGTATCACAGGCAAACTTATGACTAGTTAAGATTCATTAGGTAATAGTTGTATTATGTATTTCTATGTTTATAGTCAGTTGGGTGAGTGTAGGTGCGAATTGTGAGGAATCACAGATATCGAGGGGAGGTCTAGGTTGTTTTTTGTATGTGTATGATACAAGAGAATGGGCAGTTTTCATGTAGTTAGCTGACAGTGGGGTGTGTCAGGGAGATAAGATGTTTTCTAACAGTAGTTTTGAAAGTGTTGAATGTGTCTGCAGTTCTAGAGTTTTCAGGTAGGGTGTTCCAGATTTTAGGCCCTTTTATGTACGTTGAATTTTTGTATAGGTTTAGCTGGACACGGGGAATGTCATAGAGATGTTTGTGTCTGGTATTATGCTTGTGGGTCCTGTCACAACTATCAGGAAAGTGTTTTAGGTCAGGGTTAATATTGAAATTTAAGGTTCTGTAAATGTAGGTTGCACAGTAGTAAGTGTGGATGTTCTGAACAGTGAGTAAGTTTAGATCTATGAAGAGAAAAAGGATCAAAGAATGCGAGAATAATCCTAAAAAGCTTTGGCGACAACTAAAAGTTATGGGGTATAGGAATAAACCTGTAGATTGATCTAATACACAAATAACTCACACATTGGAGAGACTTGTAATGATCCAAGTCAGCCTGAAGTGTTGTCATCAGCTTCACCCCCCTATGTGCAGGTTATTTGTGTATTGCTCCAGTCACGGTATTGTGCCTTTTTGGTCTTCGTAGTGCTGAATGTTGATAATGAGGTATGCCATGAAACAAAGAGGCAAATTATTTCAATTCATTCTACACAACTGTTGCATCAACATTAGTCAGTGAACTGCCAGTGGCATCAAATACCTTCAAAATGACAAATAAGTTTAAACTTACTACAGCAATAAAAGCATCACCCCAAACAGTTTCCTATTACAGTATTAAGTGTATCTTATGACTGTCTGTGAAAAGAGCTAAGCATGTTAAACCCAACTAAGAGTACTGGACCAGATAACATCCCAGCCAAATTCTTAAAAGATAGTACTACTTCCTAATTGCCATCTCCATTGCATACATAATAAATTTGTCCACCACCAATACATGTACTGTGCCAGAGGGGTTCAAGGATGCCAGAGTCATTCCCATCTTCAAGACAAACAGTACAGATGATATCAGCAGTTATAGGCCTGTTAGTATAGACTTGGTGTGATGTCCAAAATTCTAGAGAAAGTAGTTAAGTATCTTGATGACAAACACTTTCTCCGTAATTACCAGTCTGGTTTTAGGAGATCCTGCTCAACCAATACCTCCCTAATTAATCTGATGGGCTACCTGAGAACTGATGTCGTTAGGGAATCTCATAGGTATGGTGAACCCAGACTTGCAAAAGGCATTGGACACAACAAGATCAATAATAGAGAATCAGAACCCCTGCCAACATCATGTGGGGTTTCTCAAGGTAGTATTCTGGGTTCCATTGTTTTGCAAAGCATTTTTAGGCAGACTTAAAGTGTTTTGCTTGCATCTGAAAGGACCCAGGTTTGGTCCAAGGCCTGACATGGGCCAGTCTCTCTTCTCTTTCCTTGGCTCAAACCAGATTACCTCATTTCTCAGGCACTCTGACTCCTCATTATAAATAAAACATGGGTGAAACATTAGGAATCTTTATTAACATAATGTTTCTCTCCTGTACTGCAGGCTTCATCAGCTTTGGTGGAAGACAAAGTAGGGGAAGTGGAGAAGTAGCTTGATGTAGTCTTTCACCAAGGGTGATTGATGGACTGATTACACAAAACTACCTTTTCATTTCATATACTTGTTTTCCACCAAAACTGATCGCTCCAGTAGTGTAATTTTATCTGTATTTGACTAATGAAGTCTTCAGTGCAGGCAAAACATCTCGCCAATAATATTTCTAATGTTATTCATGTGTCTTAATTATCATCTTGTTGCTATTATGTACCATTTATATGATACTTGTTTGACCCTTAAGTTTAGCACTTCCTATTTACTTAGCAGTAAATAGATACCTGGGAGTTAGTTAGCTGTTGTGCATCTTTCCTAGGAAAGAGACCCTAAGGACTCCAACAGAAATAAACCGTAGTGCTTTGCTTTCTTTTTTATTTGTCTGTTTTTTTTTTAACTCATTGGCTACCTACTGAGGCATGGTGTTACGGCCCCCTGCCAAACTAGCGGTTAAATAGTTAACCCGCCGGCTAGCAGTACCACTGGGTACGTCATCAAACCCATTGTGGGGACTGCTGAGCCGGCCTTAGAGCATTAAGTACCTGAACACCTCACGGTACGCATCTAAGCAGTAGGTACCTGAACACTTAATGGTACACATCTACTGGCCTTAGAAGCAGTAAGTACCTGAACACCTCACGGTACGCAACTAAGCAGTAGGTACCTGAACACCTAATGGTACACATCTACTGGCCTTAGAAGCAGTAGGTACCTGAACACCTAATGGTACACATCTACTGGCAGTAGAGTATTTTACTGGCTTCTACTGATTTTAGAAGAAGCGCTCACCGCAGCTCACTGAGTCTGTTGGCCTCAGTTATTTGACGGCCGCATTCAGTGAGCTTGCAACATAGTGTGTGCTGCATCGGACCACCTTGCGGTGTGTCAACTGGTCTTGAAGGCGGTAGATAGTACTCACCAGACCATCTTACGGTGTACTTCTACCAGCCTTAGAGAGTATTTACAGGACTACCGGTGATGTCTGCGGACTCACCGCCTACGCTGGTCAACTGTGGGCCGGAGTCATCGGATGCTGTTTAGTGGGACATTACATGAAGAAAAGGTTGGAGTGTTACACTGAACTGGGCTATGACTGTAGTGTGACACTTAGGGAAGTATGATGGAGTGGAACACTGAGATATGCTACAGGACCGTAGTGGAACACGGAGAAGAAAAGGGTGTCGTGTGACACTGAAGATGGCCTGGTTGTAGTGTACATTGAATAGTGTCATGTGACTGGCCTCGACAAAGACACTATGCGGGTAGTGTGACGCAGAGACAAGGGTGTCAAGTGTGACACGGTTGTGAAAGTGTGTATTACACGGAGAAAAGGGTGTCAAGTGACATGGTGGAGAAAGAGCGTCACAACTCGGATAAGTGTCGTGAGAAACGCAGTTGATTGTAATTTATTATTTTAAATGTTACTTAATTTATTATTTTAGCATAGATATATATAGTGACACAGGAGTGTCAAGAAAGTTGTACCCTGTGTAGGGTTACGAATTATTTATTATTTTAGTTAGATGCTAATTATAATTTATTATTGTAACATGTATATATTATCAGATGTTTATTAGTTCAAATACCTCTATTCCAAAGATAGTTGTTTTTTATATAATATTAAAGATTAATTGATTTTAATGTGTATATATGTATCCCGAACTCTATTACAAAATGAGTAAACCTACCATCTTTAAAAATCACTTTTTTTGTAATACATGGTGACCTGAAAAGGAAGAAACACTTTCATCATCACTTGCTCCATCACTGTCTTGCCAGAGGTGTGTCACTACTACAGTTCAAAAACTACAACATATCACCACCCCTTCTTCAGAACGAAGGCATTGCACTTCCCACCTTCAGAACTCAAGTCCAGCTAGCCAATTTCCCTGAATCCTTTCATATATGTTACCTTGCTCACACTCCAACAGCACATCAAATCATAAAAGCCACTTACCTCCTCTGGCTCCTATCTAACACACACACACATGCTTGTTGGAAGTCTAAGCCTCTCATACACAGTCTCCTTTACTTGGTTTATTCTGGGTTATTAGCCCTGAGGGGTTTAGAATGTAAAGATTGATAAGTATTGGTGATATGTAGTGTTCTGGTGCTGAATTTAACACTGTATCAGCTATTAACATATCTAGGTATTGTAACAAGCTATTGTAGATTTACAGATTTTTTTTTTTTTTTTTTTTTTTTTAACAAGTCGGCCGTCTCCCACCGAGGCAGGGTGACCCAAAAAGAAAGAAAATCCCCAAAAAGAAAATACTTTCATCATCATTCAACACTTTCACCTCACTCACACATAATCACTGTTTTTGCAGAGGTGCTCAGAGCACAACAGTTTAGAAGCATATACGTATAAAGATACACAACATATCCCTCCAAACTGCTAATATCCCGAACCCTTCCTTTAGAGTGCAGGCATTGTATTTCCCATTTCCAGGACTCAAGTCCGGCTATACAAAAATAACCGGTTTCCCTGAATTCCTTCACTAAATATTACCCTGCTCACACTCCAACAGATCGTCAGGTCCCAAATACCATTCGTCTCCATTCGCTCCTATCGAACACGCTCATGCACGCCTGCTGGAAGTCCAAGCCCCTAGCCCACAAAACCTCCCTTACCCCTTCCTTCCAACCTTTTCAAGGATGTCCCCTACCCCGCCTTCCTTCCCCTACAGATTTATACACTCTCCATGTCATTCTACTTTGATCCATTCTCTCTGAATGACCAAACCACCTCAACAACCCCTCTAAAGCCCTCTGACTAATACTTTTATTAACTCCACGCCTTCTCTGCACCTTTTAAGTAGTACCACCAAGCTCTTCCCTGGTCACCAAAGTACAGGACTGTAATTAACCACTTTATGAGTAACTTGTATTGCATTCCAGATGCTGGATGAGAATTCGCAGTTGATCAAGACCATTACTGATTATCAGAACCAGGGAAAGCCTCAAGAATGTTTCCAGTAAGTATTTAAGTTTCCAACCTACTATGGAGAACATTTTTAGTGGATTTCTTATTTATTTATTTATTTATTTATTTACAATTTGAGCATACATATAGAGGTACAAAAAAATACAGATAAGAGCAGCATGCCAAAGCCACTTATACTATGCATAGCATTTCGGGCTGGCTTAAAATTAACTAAGCAATGATGAAATCAGTGATAATACATTATTGTAAACAGATAACTATAAAGCACAAATGAGTATTACAAAGACAGGTCATATGGTTGCATGCATTGTTGTACATTCAGTCGTATGGAGTATTTTGTTAGGTAGTGTATTTAAAAAATAATAAAGTTAGATTGGGTTTTAGGTTTAACATTTATGTGATATAATTGTGAGAAAATTTAGATATACAATTTATAAGGTTCAGTTATTCAGTATTTATTTGGTTTTGGGTGAGTAAGTGATCTTTGAGAAGAGACTTGGAATTTATAAACAGGTAGTGTTTCTTTTATATTTACAGGTAATGAATTCCAGATTTTAGGGCCTTTTATGTGCATTGAGTTTTTGCATAGCGTGAGATGGACACGAGGACATCAAAGAGTGATCTGTGCCTTGTATTATGGTCATGTGTTCTGTTGAGGTTGGCAGGAGATGTTTGAGGGGAGGGTTAATATCAGAGTTAAGTGTTCTATGTATGTAATAGGTGCAGTAATAAGTATGGATGTTTTGTATGGTGAGTAGGTTTAGTGTATTGAATATTGGTAGAGTGTGCTGTCCTGTAGTGAGAATTTGTTATCATTCTAACTGCAGCCTTTTGTTGGGTAATTAGTGGTCTGAGATGGTTAATATTTGTTGAGCCCCATGCACAAATTCCATAGGTGAGATAGGGGTAAATAAGAGAGTGATATAGGGCCAGGAGGGCTGACTGTGGAACATAGTACCGTATCTTCGATAGTATGCCTACAGTCTTGGAAATTTTCTTAGAAATTTGTTGTATATGTGTATGAAATTTGAGTCTATTATCAAGGTGGATTCCTAAGAATTTTCCCTCTGTTAGCTTTGTGATAGGTGATCCGTTTATCATTATGTTAAGAGGGACATCTGTAGCTCTGTTACCAAACTGAATGAAGTAGGTTTTGTCAATGTTTAGTGTAAGTTTGTTAGTCCTCATCCAGGTAGATATTTTCTGTAATTCGGTATTTACAGTATAGGCTAGCGTGACTGGGCTCGGGTGAGAGAAGACGTATGTAGTGTCATCTGCAAATGTGTGGGTTTGAGTAATTGCGAAGCATTTGGAAGGTCATTTATGTATAGGAGAAAGAGAAGAGGGCCAAGGAGACTTCCCTGTGGGACACCAACTGTAATTGGTTGCGCAGAAGAGTTTGCCCCATTTGCGTACACATATTGGCTTCTGTTGCTGAGGTATGACTTGAGGTAGTTGAGGGAGTGCCCTCTTATACCATAGTGTGACAATTTTACGTGGAGCAAGTCATGGTCAACTGTATCAAAAGCTTTACGTAAGTCAATGAAGATCCCCAGTGGGACTTCTTTTTTCTCTATTGCAGTGTATACATGTTCTAGCATGTGTATAATAGCATCATTAGTATTTTTATTAGGCCTGAATCCAAATTGGCAGGGGTTGAGTATGTTTTGGGAGATAAGGTAGGAGTAGATTCGTTTATGAATTAATTTTTCGAAGATTTTTGAGAGAGGGTGTAAGTTGGATATTGGCCTATAGTTATTCAACTCTGTTTGGTCTCCTCCTTTGTGGATCGGGGTGACCCTTGCTATTTTGAGTACTGTAGGGAAGGTGGAGGATTCTATGGATTTGTTAAAGAGTGTTGCAATGATTGGTGATAGCACTTGTGACAGTTTTTTGTATATAAAGGGTGGTAAGGTATTTAAATCTCCTGCCTTGTTTTTTAGTGCGTTGATAATAAGGGAGACTTCGTAAGGGTTAGTCGGAGCTAGGAACAGTGTGTTCGGGTAGTTGCCGGTGAGGTAGTCATTTGGTGGGGTATCTGAGCTTGGGATTTTATTGGCAAGGTTTTGTCCTATAGTGGAGAAGAAATCATTGAGTCTGTTTGCTGTTTCTGTTGGTGGGAGTTGGGGTTCATCTGATTTTGCTAATTTTATTTCGCTATTTCGTGATATCTTTTTTGTTCCCAGAATTTCTGATAGGGTTTTCCAGGTCTTTTTTATATCACCTCGTAAGTTGGATAATCTGTTCTCATAATACAATTTTTTGCCCTTCTTATCAGGCTGGTTAGGATTGACGAGTAACGTTTTGTTTGGTCTCTGGTTATGTGACCCATTCTGTACTGTTTTTCATATTGGTGTTTTGTATTTATGGATTTGAGAATGCTGGGTGTTAGCCAGGGACTGTTCAGTCTCTTAGCTGTCATCTGTTTAGTTTTTTTAGGGCAGTGCTTGTTATAGAGGTATTGGGTCTTTTTTAGAAAATTTTTAATACATTCTTCAATATCTGTATAGATTTCTAGCTCAGTGTGCCAATCAATGTTTGCTACTGCTGTTGTGAAGTTATTAATGGCTGCCTCACTGTGAAGTCTGAAGGTGACTTTAGTAGTGTCTTGGGGTAGTTTACCAAGAGTTGTTATGAGGAAAGTAGGTTAGTGGTCTGTGGTATTATCTGTAATTATGCCTGATTTTAAAGGGGATATGGTGTTGGTCCAGATGTGGTCAAGTAGGGAAACACTAGTCTCTGTAACTCTTGTAGGTTTTGTTACTGTTGGTAGTAACATACAGTTACTCATTGTGTTTGTGAATTCAGTAACGTGTGGGTCCTGGTCTTGCAGGAGATTTATATTGAAGTCACCTGAGAGTAGTAAGTGATCTTTGTTCATGCGTGCATCAGTTATCATACTTCCTAGGTTTTGACTAAATTGGCTAATGTTTGACTGTGGAACTCTGTAGATGTTTATCAATGTGAGAGGTTTTTGTAGGTATTTGGATTTGAATTTAGCTATTATATATTCCCCATGTTCATCCCTTGTGCAAGTATTAGTGATACATTCTAGTTGGTCTGAGTAGTATATGGCTGTGCCACCCCCTTGTTGGTCTGGCCTACAGTTGTGTATGGCTGTGTAACCAGGAATGGCATAGACATCTGTACTATCAGCTTTAGCCAGGTTTCAGTTAGTGTAATGATGGACATATTGGCATGTAAGGAATTTAGTAATGCTATGAGGTCATCGTAATGCTTGCTTAAAGATCTGATATTGTAGTTAAAGATAGTTATGTTGTTGTTGGCACTGAGAAGTGCCTTTGATTGTTCTGCAGTGTAGTAATTACAGTAACTGTTTGATTCATTTAAGTCATTAAATAAGAGGTTGGTATCAGGATCAATGCTTGTAATCATAAGATTTGTAGTGAATCTATAGTTAGAATTAAGTATAAAACAAAGTAAATAGTCTTAAGCTAAAAAATAGCACCTGAATTATTTAAACAAATGTAAAATAATGAGCTAAGGTAGTATTTTTTTTTTTTTTTTTTTTAAGCTAAAATAAAGGAGACACTATAAAAGGGACTAATACAAATAAAGTGATGATCAAATAATGGAGCTTGGGAATATGATAGTAGGTAGTACTATAAAGGTAATTTTTTAAAGTTAGAATTATAGTATAAAATTATAATATAAAAGGGACTAATATAGGTTGTGGTGAACAATAAAGTGGTAATCAAATAAATGAGCTTTGGAATATAATGGCAAAATTGTGAACTTATTCTACTTTAGCACCTGAGAATAGCACCTTGATTATTTTAACAATTGTGAATATATAAACTAGGGTAGTTATATAAAGCTAAAATAAAGGAGAAAATATATAAGGGACTAAAAATAAGTAATGGTAAACAAAGTTAAATGGACAGATGGTAGGAATTATAATATAAACTTATAATATAAAAATACAATTTGAAATGGTACTTGCAATTGCACTAGAGTCTGGTATAGGTTGTTGACAAGATCAAGATTATAACTAGATTTAAATTGACAAAATAAAATTCACAATTAAAGTACCAAAAGAACTGGTGTTTAATAAAATTTTAGTAAGTAATAATGATTACAAAAAAGTGAAAAAGTAATGTTTATTTCATTCAATATTGCACTGGTAGTTATACTTGGTTATATGGCAGTCAAAAATGTTAAGAGTAAATTGAAATTTTAGTAAAAATGATAATTATTAATTTTAGTAAGCAATATCAATTGATAGTATTTAAAAAAATATGAGGTAGTAATATGGACAGAGAAAGTATCAATTCAGCTAATGTTTAAGCGAACAATAGTAAATAACAAAATCACATAAGGTGACTTATGCTTACTAGTAAAATCACAAAATGAGGTAGTTGATTATTTAATTACTAAGAGATTGCACAATGAAATTTGAACAATAATGGAGCAAAACATACACTACACTACATAGGCTTTTAAGTTGGACATTGTTTAGTTATTCTCTGTAAGATTAGTATCCCTGAGAAATCGTGATAGATCATTCTCGTTCGTGATTGTGTACAGTTGACCTACATTTGTTTTCCTAACAAGAATTTTCCCATCCCGTGTGAAGCATTGGTGTATTGTGTCATTATTCTCCCGCTTAAGTTTTCTGACCCTATACAGGAGGTTCTGACGTTTTTTGGTAAGACACTCGTTTATGTATACCTCTTTCTTTACTTTAATAGATGCAATAATTAAGTCTTTTTTCCTGTCATGTGAGTGGGAATCTAAGCATAACACTTTTTCTACCATGGGATCCTAGTAACCTGGCTTCTTTTATTTCAGACTCTGGTACAATAACATTGTTTGGTCCTTTATGATCTGCAGAGTAATTTCTTTACTGTTTGTTTGGTTCATATCACTGGGAAAAAGTGGACTGTTAAACTATTACTGCATCCGATAGTTTATCTTGTTCAGTTTTATCTTCTTGGAGAGCAAAGTAGTCACTGAAAACTGGTTGTCTAAGTTGTTCTTCAGTCTTTTACTGCTTCTTCAACCTTTGTATTAAAAGATATTATTTGTTGGGTATGGCTATCTATGACTGTTTGGATGGTCTTGTCACAGTTAGTCATTCCTGGTGTTGTTAACTTTTGTTCAAGACTGTGGATTTTGTTCTCGAGTTGTGTCATCCTGGTGTCTTGTTTTGTTAGCGTCTCTCGAAGATTCATATTTTCAATAGCTAAGTTGGAGATGCATGTCTTTAGGGTATCTGGATCGTTGGTCATACATGAGAGACTACTTGGTAGGTTGAATCCGGGGAAGAGAGGGGAGGATGGGCTGGTGGCAGCCATGTTTGTTATTATTGTGTGGTGTTGAGCTTTGGCTACTGAATTTTTTATACCAAATATTTATCTTCTTTAATTTTCATATAGGAAATGGAAAATGACAGTAACATTGTACCAAAGAAACAAGAAACTTAACTTGGTGCTATAAACCATACCCCCGGCCGGGATTGAACCCGCGGTCATAGAGTCTCAAAACTCCAGCCCGTCGCGTTAGCCACTAGACCAGCTAGCCACAATAAGATTCATCCAACTAGGTATATTTCTACACCATAGGAAGGTTAGCACAGGCACCTCTGTGACCACAAATGCAAGTTTTTACAGACGAATCTCCAGCTAGCATGGCCGTGACGAACTCTAGCTCAAGTCCCTTCACTGCCGTCAACATGACTTAAGAAATCGTAATGACACGATTGCAAATAAACCATACCCCCGGCCGGGATTGAACCCGCGGTCATAGAGTCTCAAAACTCCAGCTGGAGATTCGTCTGTAAAAACTTGCATTTGTGGTCACAGAGGTGCCTGTGCTAACCTTCCTATGGTGTAGAAATATACCTAGTTGGATGAATCTTATTGTGGCTAGCTGGTCTAGTGGCTAACGTGACGGGCTGGAGTTTTGAGACTATGACCGTGGGTTCAATCCCGGCCGGGGGTATGGTTTATTTGCAATCGTGTCATTACGATTTCTTAAGTCTTGGTGCTATAGTAGGCTGGATTATTAACCACATGAATAATTTTTTTTTTTAATGCAGACTTTACTGTCCTCATTATTGGGTGAACTTATCAGGAGTACACCATATACCTAATGTCGATTTTATCTTGAGGATTTTTTGTGAATAGTATTTTTTGGAGCCCTGCAAGTAGTGCTATATAAAATACTATATAATTTTAATTTCCACCCTCTTCAATTAATACAGTACTTGTCATATGCCTGGCCTTGACAAGTCTTCTAGACACCAGATGTTGTGGAATATATCCCAGTACAAGCTTGCTCTCACAACATTCAGCATGGTAGATTATATACATACTGGTATATGAATGGAGTAAAATCTGCAACTGTTGTGGGCTTCACAGTAGTGTTTCATAGCTTTACTAGACCTAGGTTTCTTGTAGCTGCATTTGAGTTGACTTAGATTTTGCCATATAGATTTTGTAAAACAAACACTCCCTTGGTTCTGATGCCACCTTGCCGCCCTCTTTTTTTTCTACACATCCCATGGATCTTTCCACCGCCACCAGGGAGGCAGTACCACCCATTTTGGGAATCACTGCTTTAAAGCATGAGGCCATGCTGATTTGCCTGTGATCGCCAGCTTTAACCCTTAAACTGTCCAAACGTAGATCTATGCTCACGTGCGTAGCGCTCCGGACATAGATCTACATCCGATTTTACATGTTTTTTTTTTTTTTTTTTTTTTTTTTTTTATCACACTGGCCGATTCCCACCTTCTTGCCAGAAGGGTGCTTTACACTACAGTTTTTAAACTGCAACATTAACACCCCTCCTTCAGAGTGCAGGCACCTGCTTTCTTACGTAAAAAAAGAGTAGATCTACGATTGGAGTGCTATGCACGTCAATGTAGATCCACATTTGAACAGTTTCAGGGTTAAACAGTGAGAACCATCAGAGCTAATATAGCAGAATAATGAGAAGTGGTCTTTGCTGACCCTCTATCTTAGTGTTGAAAGGCTAGTGTGTTGGAAGGAAGCAGACATTACTCAAGCCATGATGGGTATGGAAACACAAAAGACAATTATCACTTGCTTGAAATTCTACAGTCATATGCTTTGTTAACTTATGAACAGCAGAGCAAAGATCAATATCACAAACATTGACACCAACAGAATGTTGTTGAACATACCACTTATGCACTGTTTCTTAAAGCTTTTAGTTAAGTTAATTTTAAGCCTGCCCATAATGATCTGCATACAAGGGGCTTTTGGCATGTACACCCAATCACTATATTTCTTTGTACAACTATGTATCATGTCCAAATAAAAAATAATTAAGTAAATAAATAAATGGGCTGTTTTCATATGTTTTCTAGAGCCAGCTGTTAAACCTTTGTGGTTAGCATCTACAGTAAACTTAAGAGCATAGGCTGTAAGTTTGTCCTTGCATCTACAGATATCAGACCCTGTTTCTTAACACCATATTCCTCATGAGATGCCAGACTTAACCTTCTTTATTAATTAAATTTTCTCCTTAACACTGAGAATTACAAGTTTTCTTTTGGTATCACCACTTGCTTTAAAGGCCATTATTAATTGCATTTTACTTAATATTTAAAGTCTTACAAATTGCTCTAAATCCAGGGACAAGTGTATGCATGAGTGAGCTCAGACTGGTGCAGGTGGCTTATGGCTCAGTGAACAATGAAAATGGATAGGCACCTCACTAGGTATTATAGTTGGTAAATACTTTGTTTACATTTTTTATTAGTAACATGTGATTTTTATTTTCTCAGTATCTTAGCAGCATCAAAAAATTTTGCTTCTTTTTCAGGTACCAGCAGTCTCTTCATCGAAATCTAATGTATTTGGCATCTATGGCAGACACATCACAAAATATGGCTCAACTTTTACCAGTAAGAAAGACAAATTATTGGTAGAAAAATATGGGGATATAAAGGGATAGATAGATCTTTAGTCTGTCTATAAGTACATTCCACAATATTAACTTGACTGCTAAGGGTAACACCAAGTTTTCCAAATCTGTACGAATACATTTCTTTATGGAATTAATTGTGGAGACCTCAGCATCCACCACTTTGTGGTGCAAACAGTTCAACATCTTGTAATAGTGGATGATTTTGGAATACTGACATTATACAACAATACCTTGTTTAGAATGGTTTTGAACAGTACAGAATTTGATACACAGTAGACCATCGTTTAACACGGTTTTGTCTTGCACGTTTTGGATATAGCACGATTGAAGAATTGCGGCATATTTTTGTTTAACGCTTCGTAAAATTAGCTTAACACAGTTGTGGGAGGGGGGAAATTTTGAGCACCGCCGGGCGAGTTGGTCTGTGGGTTACACCATTGTGTCAACGGGGGAGACCTACCACCATGCCATCCCCCATTTCCCTCAGCCACCCACACCCACCCACACCACCCTCCCAACCTTCATTTCAGTTCGTACGCATGTAGGACGATACTCAGGAAGCTCGATGTGTTTAGTTACATACGTATTTTCTCATTTTCATTGCCATATGTTAAATCTGCTAAGCAATCATGGCACTGACTTGACTAAATGACACACTGACTTGACTGAATGACTTACTTGACTGAATAACTTGCTGACTTGACTGAATGACTTATTGACTTTGACTGAATGACTTACTGACTTGACTGAATGACTTACTGACTTGACTGAATGACTTACTGACTTGACTGAATGACTTACTGACTTTGACTGAATGACTTACTGACTTGGCTCAATGACTTAACTGAATGACTTACTGACTTGGCTCAATGACTTAACTGAATGACTTACTGACTTGGCTCAATGACTTAACTGAATGACTTACTGACTTGACTGAATGACATACTGACTTGACTGAATAACACTGGCTTTAATGAATAACTTACTGACTTTACACACACTCCAATGCAACCATCGACTTCAGTACCAGAACCTCTACCATCCACTTCTGCCAACAACCAGCAACCATCCACCTCAACCCAGTAGGGCGACACCATCCATATCCACTCTCTTCACAATCATCCACAAACACCATTACCCACAATTTAAAGTAAGAAATACTATTATTTCTATTGCATTTGTAGCCTTAAGCAGTAATATATCATGACGATGCACTACAATTACATATTCACTTTTATTTTGTAAGATCTGGAGGTCTAAAGAAAGTTGTTTGGCTTTTTGGGGGCTCCCAGGAACATAACCCTATTTTTTCCATAAGTTCTTCAATTCATCTAACACAGTTTTGTCTAACACAGCATTTTCAGGAACATAACTACCGTGTTAAACAGTGGTCTACTGTACATAATGCCGTTCATAAATTTAATAAATTTAAAAATATAAATTTTATTTAACTGCATTATGAAGCATCAGTATGTCACATATAAGGAATAAAGATCAAATAAAGACACAGAATGGCTATGGCATCTTATATACAGTAGTGCCCCACTTATAGGGCAGGTTAGGTTCCAGACTACCGCCGTAAAGTGGAACACCCTTTTTTTCCACTTATAAATGCATATAAATACTAGGTAACAAGTTTACACTAACATATGTGAAGTTACCAATAGAACTAGGCATTAAAAAACAAAAAAAAAGTAAAATATGCATTCCGCTAATACGGTCATTTCAAATTATAACCAAAACTCGCTATACGGCTCCCCCCACCTGACTTTCTAATATGGTCACCGCGCCCCACCCTGTTTGTTTACATTCTCTGTGAGATCCATAAGCACTAAGTCTCTCCATTTTGTCTGGAAACTCCAAAATTTCAAGTGTTTTTAAAAGTTATTTCATATTTTATATATACTCTGATAATTATACTTATGTATACCTGTACCTAAATAAACTTACACACTGTGCTGGCATGCAGGTACACATTAAAATCAGTAAGAGTGTCTTATGTCTCCAGACGCCATATTAGTAATGATAATAATAATCACCGAGTCTCATTTAAATGTCGTATACATAGTATTACGTTAATATACATATTTTCATTAATCCATCTATATTTTTTCAAAATTATATAAACACGATGCATAACATATAAATATGATAAATACACCCCACAGTAGAATAAATAAACATAAATATGAGATGTGGTAGCAGACAACTTGCACAAGTGATGCCATATTAGAAATAATAATAATAATAATAATAATAATAGGAAAAGGTGTGGAGTTAATAAAAGTATTAGTCAGAGGGCAGAAGAGGGGTTGTTGAGGTGGTTTGGTCATTCAGAGAGAATGGATCAAAGTAGAATGACATGGAAAGCATATAAATCTATAGGGGAAGGAAGGCGGGGTAGGGGTCGTCCTCGAAAGGGTTGGAGAGAGGGGGTAAAGGAGGTTTTGTGGGCAAGGGGCTTGGACTTCCAGCAAGCGTGCGTGAGCGTGTTAGATAGGAGTGAATGGAGACGAATGGTACTTGGGACCTGACGATCTGTTGGAGTGTGAGCAGGGTAATATTTAGTGAAGGGATTCAGGGAAACCGGTTATTTTCATATAGTCGGACTTGAGTCCTGGAAATGGGAAGTACAATGCCTGCACTTTAAAGGAGGGGTTTGGGATATTGGCAGTTTGGAGGGATATGTTGTGTATCTTTATATGTGTATGCTTCTAAACTGTTGTATTCTGAGCACCTCTGCAAAAACAGTGATAATGTGCGAGTGTGGTGAAAGTGTTGAGTGATGATGAAAGTATTTTCTTTTTGGGGATTTTCTTTCTTTTTTTTGGGTCACCCTGCCTCGGTGGAAGATGCCGACTTGTTGAAAAAAAAAATAATAATACTAGGTAGTAGGTTGGTAGACAGCAACCGCCCAGGGAGGTACTACCGTCCTGCCAAGTGAGTGTAAAACGAAGGCCTGTAATCGTTTTACATGATGGTAGGATTGCTGGTGTCCTTTTTTCTGTCTCATAAACATGCAAGATTTCAGGTACGTCTTGCTACTTCTACTTACACTTAGGTCACACTACACATACATGTACAAGCATATATATACACACCCCTTTGAGTTTTCTTCTATTTTCTTTCTAGTTCTTGTTCTTGTTTATTTCCTCTTACCTCCATGGGGAAGTGGAACAGAATTCTTCCTCCGTAAGCCATGCGTGTTGTAAGAGGCAACTAAAATGCCGGGAGCAAGGGGCTAGTAACCCCTTCTCCTGTATATATTACTAAATGTAAAAGGAGAAACTTTCGTTTTTCCTTTTGGGCCACCCCACCTCAGTGGGATATGGCCGGTGTGTTGAAAGAAAGAAAGAATAATAATAATCACCGAGTCTCATTAAATGTCGTATATTACATTAATATACACATTTTCATTAATCCATCCATGATTTTTTTCAAAATTATATAATAAACATGATATACAGGTCTCCCTCAACTTTAGTCAGAAAAGAATTCCATTAAGTCAGGTGATGATTCAAGCTAAAGCAACAAGTCTCTATTCAATGTTAAAAAAAAAAATGGCAATAAAGGGGAAAGTTTTTTGGCAAGTCGTGGCCGGTTTTACAACTTTAAAAATTGTATGAGCGTCCATAATGTTCAAATTACTGGTCAAAGTGTCAGTGCAGATAATGAGGCATCTGCAAGATTTCCTAATGATCTTAAAAAAAAATTGATTTCAGAAAATGGCTACAAAGATGAACAAATTTTTCAAGTAGCTGAAGTGGATTTGTATTGGAAGAAGATGCTGTTACAAAATGTCTCGCTGCATTGTTCCACTGATTTTGCCGGTTTTGAATCCCATGTTGAAACTTTGAACACATTATGTAGTGTGGGATAAATCATCTCAGATTAGAAGAAAAACAACATGCAAACTATGTTGTTCAACTAGTTTTTCAAAATAAAAATTATTTTTTTCATTACTATATGTATGGTATATTGTTTATTTACAACTATAATAAAAATCTTTATTACTACTAATTTTTTGTTTTTATCTTTTGCAATTTCTTCATTTCCAAGTGTGTTCAAGAGTTTCATGTTCATTGATTTGTACTAAGCAAATGGCTAAATATTTTTGTGATCCAACCCATTTAATCATTTTGTTGGAACGCATTACATTGAAACCCATCATAATAAACCTGGATCAGTATGGTATTGCATGGTACGATATTTTTTTGACATGCATTAACCATACTTTGCAAGATACTGCTGTACTGATAAAGAAATGTGAATGGAACTTAAAACACCAGAAGGATGACAGTATAGTTAGTAAATTGCTGTGCTGTATAAGGTTTGTGAAAGCAAGTATATAGGATATTAACCCTTTGACTGTTTCAGTCATATATATACGTCTTATGAGCCAATGTGTTTGACGTATACTATATACTCAAAAATTCTAGCGGCTTCAAATCAAGCAGGAGAAAGCTGGTAGGCCCACGTGTGAGAGAATGGGTCTGTGTGGTCAGTGTGCACCATATAAAAAAAATCCTGCAGCACACAGTGCATAATGAGAAAAAAAACTCCGACTTTTTTTTTTTGTATTAAAATGCCGAATTTGTGGTCTATTTTCGTATAGTATTTATGGTTGTATTCTCGTTTTCTTGGTCTCATTTGATAGAATGGAAAACATATTATAGAAATAGAGGTAATTTTGATTGGTTTTACTATGAAAAGAAATGGAGCTCAAAGTAGGGAAAATGTTTGATTTTTTCCGATGTTCAAAAGTAAACAAATGATGTCATTTTCCAATAAATGTCCAAGTAGCCATTCTAATATGCAGTCATGAATGGGTTGACATTATTTATACAATTATTACAATATTGCAGTAGTCTGCATTACAGTAAATCTTCTATTTTTTTGTTTGTTTTGTTTGTTTGAGTAATATCAGAGGGGCCTGGAGACGTGACTGATGAACAAAGAAAATGTTATTTTAGAGCCAGGAATGTCTGCATTGTTCATTCTGAACCCTATTTTGAAATTGTCATATTTTTTAATTTTTGTGAAATTGACCAGATTGCAAATTTCTGACCACGTTATTGGGTAGTTGAAATATGTAAATGGGCAGTTTCTTCTACTCAATCGATAGAAAAAATGGAGTTCTAAAGAAATAGCTATGAGTTTGGTTGACTGGAACAATGGAATTAACCGAAAATAGGGCTCAAAGTGGGCGAAATTGCCAATTCATAAATATCGCCGAGGTTGCTAACTTCACAAGAGCGTTCTTTTGGTGCCATTACAATTGGGTAAAGATTCTCTGTCATTTCATAAGATTTTTTTTTTTTTTTTAAATTTTGCGACACCAGGAGACACCTCAGGATTTGGGGTTGCAACAGTCAAAGGGTTAAGAAAGATATTTTTGACTTGGAAGAAAAGGATTAAAATATAATTTTCATGTTAGTACAGGAAGGCCCCACTTATATGGCAGGTTAGCTTCCAGGCTACCCCAGAAAGTGGACATTGCCGGAAAGCAGAACGCCATTTTTTCCACCTTATAAATTCATATAAATTCCAGATAACAAATTTACACTAACATAATATAAGTTTGCAATAGAACTAAACATTAAAAAACAATAAAAAGTAAAATACACAAAGAACACTCATTACTTACCTTAAAATATTTGTAGTCTTAATGTAGGGTGAGAGGTGAGTAGTATTTATTTGTAGGAAGTCAGGTGTGGGAGGTATGGTAGCCCACCAGGCCACCCCACCCACATGTAATATACTACGGCAAGTAAAGCACCCTAGAGTGATAAAATGCATATACAGTACACTCGTTATTTACCATAAAATATTTGTAATCTTAATGTAGGGTGGGAGGTGAGTAAATGAGATAAAATGAATAAACGAGAGAAAGAACGATTAAATGAGAGAGGACAGAGACGTGGAGTCTGTAAACAAGCAGACGAGTGCGTCTGGTTATGGTTGTTACATTTTCATTTCCACGTTTGTGGAGCTTATATTATAATTCAAATTGTCTGCACGTTGGGGTTAAAAATCCGAACGAAATCTTATCTTATCTTATCTGGTACGGTAGAATAAGTAAAGAGCAACACTCCCATTCTCACGTAACATGCCATTTTTAGAAGGAAAGACGCTCTGAGTGAAGACATACGAAAGGAATAATTTTCTACAGTCACCCCCAGTACTACTGTTGTGTATGCATTTTCTTTAGTGTTGAACTAGAGAAAACATTATTTTTCCAACACTGACAAGACAACTGGAAAAACATCTCATATTTGTTAATTTGTTCTACTGTGGAGTGTATTTATCATGATTTATATGTTATGTAGTGCGTTTACCGACACCTTGGACTTACGATGGGCTCCCTGACAAGTATTCATACCTAAATAATGTATATTAGAGCTGATTTCCTCAATTCTGTTTATTTCAATATACAGTACACTACTGTATAAGCATTTAAAAATATACCAGAAATGTTATAAATGGAGCCAAGGTGACATTAAAACAATATAAAAGATGGTTGACACAAACTCACTACCATTATAGTATGTTTCTCACTTAGCAATGAATTCGTTTAACAATGTGGTCTTAGGAATGGAACTCCATCGTTAAGTGAGGAGAGGCTGTACGACATTTAATGCGCCTCAGTGATTATTATTGTGTATTATTATTATCATTATTAATATGGCATTTTTAAGACTAATGACACACTCAGTGATTTTCATGTGTACCTGCATGCCAGCACAGTGTGTAAGTTTATTTAGGTACAGGTACACATAAGTATAATTATCAGACTACATATAAATTATGAAATAATTTTAAAACACTTGAATTTTTGGAAAGTTCCCAGACATTCAAATTCAAATTCAAATTCAAATTCAAAGTTTATTCTCTATAAGGATTACAATGCTGAGTTTACAGAATTTGGTTATTGTATTGTTTACATGTAATAAAATAATAATTACAGAGTGTACCACTAAAACACCTAGCATGGCTAGGCATTTCGGGCAGACTTAAATTAAATCTTAAGTTTAAAATATTACAAAATTATGAGGTAAGTTGGTATTATGGCTAAGTGACTAAATACTAGTTTGTGAGTTTAGCAATGTGAATGCTTTTGTTTTGGCACTATACATAGTTTCAGTATTGGAGTATCACAGGCCAACTTATAACTAGTTAAGATTCATTATTTTGAGATTGAGATTGATATTTCTGTTTATGGTCAAATGGGTGAGTGAGTGTAAGTGTTAACCACCAGGTGGTATTCGTGTAATTAGTTGACAGGGTGTATCAGGGAGATAAGATGTTTTCTGATGGTAGTTTTGAAGGTGATGAATGTGTCTGCAGTTTTAGAATTTTCAGGTAGGGTGTTCTAGATTTTAGGGCCTTTGACATACATTGAATTTTTGTGAAGGTTTAGTCGGACACGGGGAATGTCATAGAGATGTTTGTGTCTGGTATTGTGCCTGTGGGTTCTGTCGCAACTATCAAGAAAGTGTTTTAGGTCAAGGTTAATATTGGAATTTAAGGTCCTGTAGATGTAGATTGCACAGTAGTAAGTGTGGATGTACTGAACAGGAGTAAGTTTAGATCTATGAAGAGGGGGGGGGGGGGTGTTGCCAGGGATGGGATTTAGTGATTATTCTTACTGCGGCTTTTTGTTGGGTTATTATTGCTTTAGGTGTGTTGCTGCAGTTGAACCCAAGCACATATAGCATAGGTGAGGTATGGATATATAAGTGAATGGTATAGTGTGAGAAGGGCAGTTTGCGGCACGTAGTATCGTATCTTGGAGAGGATCCCAACCGTTTTGGATAATTTTGGTTATGTGTTGGATATGGGTGCTGAAGTTCATGTTGTTGTCGAGGTATAGGCCTAGGAATTTGCCCTCATTATGCCTGGCAATTAGAGTGTTGTCGATCTTAATGTTAATTTGCGCATCTCCTGCTCTGCTACCAAACATATTGTAGTAGGTTTTGTCAGTGTTAAGCGTAAGTTTATTGGCTGTCATCCAAGTCGATATTTTGATCAGCTCCTCATTAACAATGGTATTGAGGGTGGCAAGATTAGGGTGAGAGATGACATAAGTCGTGTCGTCAGCAAAGAGAATGGGGTTCAGGTGTTGAGATACGTTTGGAAGATCATTGATGTAATATGAGGAAGAGCAGGGGACCAGGACACTTCCCTGCAGAACTCCAGTATCAAGTGGCTGTGTTGTTTGATGCGTGTCTTTAATGGTGACATACTGATACCTATTAGTAAGGTAAGATTTGAAATATGCAAGCGCATGGCCTCTTATATCATAATGGTCAAGTTTGTGGAGTAGGATGCCGTGGTCTACTGTGTCAAAAGCTTTTCTTAGGTCAATAAAAATTTAGTGGATATTCCTTATTTTCCCAAAGCTGTGTAAGCAAACTAGCTTTTTATGATTTCATCGTTTTGGCTTTTTTTTTTTCCTGAATCCAAATTG